TGTCAATATTTTTAAGGCTTCCTGACTTTATTATTTTTTAGAGGAAAATTAAATGTGGTGATGCTGTTGACTAATTAAATTGCTTTAATGTGACATCTCGGACATATACTGGGATAAGACCTAACACATCTTCTTAGCCAGCTGAAAGTGATGTTATATTTTTAAGATGTCCAGTGTTATCCAGTCCATCTATATCGCAGGAAATTCAACAGGGGAAAATAAAATTGATAGTAATCAGAGCTGTACTTCCTATTTAAATGTAATTTAAAACAAATAAATATTGTCAGTTTCTTTCCCCCCCGTCTTCCTGCATTTCCTTCTCTTTCTTCCTCTTTAAAATCACTTTGTTTTTCATTTAATCATTTTTAAAAAAAAAAAATTGCCCAATGCAGCAGTAGCCTCTGAGAACAGTCAGACTTCACTGAATGCACATGAACGTACTGTATGTGATGGCTTAGGTCTCTTTCCTACCTAGTTCAGTGACTAAAGGTGAGAAAAAATGTGTATTTACACTGCAATTATAGGAATTATATGGTTTACTGTCTAAGTACCATTCCACATCCTGGTAATTATCATGATATTAAATAGCTGTGTCATCAGAGAAGGAACACAAGTCATTACCACAGGTCTACATATGATAACTCTTAAAAATAATTACTATATAATCTTTAGATAATTGAATTATCATGAAGACTCATGTGCATGCTGCCAGCACAGCTATGCATAAAAAAAAGCTGCTTAATCAAAGATTACTGCTGTTTCTTTTTTTTAAATTGAATTATTTTCAAAACATAGTAAATCAGGATGAGGTTTTGGAAAAATATGCTGCTTTTACTCAGCTTTGTTAAACTGTGGGGTATGAATTTGCTTCAATGAATGATGTGAAGAACACATATACATAATTGAAACAACAGCATAGGTACAAAAGGGTTACTTGTTTTTTTCATGGGCAACACGTTGTGAATCCACAAACCCACAGAAGTCATTATCCTGACCAGCTCTGGATCAGATGCTTGATGGTTAAGGTAACTTTTGCAGATTTTACAAAGTTTTACAAGCTGTCTTTAGGGGAAAGATGATATATTCCATTTAGAGGATCCTATAACCATCAGAAAGTAAATTTAACAAATGTTAATGGAAGAGAATCTCTGACATTTTATGTGGAATCATATTTTTTATGAAGTATATTTATTACAAAGATTGTTTAATCTGTAATGTCCATCAGTTTTCTTTCATTTGTAGCATTTGTGCAGGGCAGTTGTATGTAGATTCAAAAGAGTATAATCTGCATAGCAAATTTGCTTTATTAAAAGGTATGATTTTCGTGATAAAAGTGACTTTCATTTAGATATTTTTCCTATAAGCATATTTCATGCTTTTCTAAAAGTTCTTTTCTAAAAGTGCATACAAAAATCTCAAGAAGACATTTGTTCGATCTCTTGACAGCTTGTAAAGCAAGCAAAAACAACAGGTTGATATAATTTCTGTTACAGTATTTTTCTAACCATTTTCTTTTTTTCTTAAAAAAAAACCCTACGGAAGTAATGTATTTACTTGAGTCATGAGTGTATGCAAGATAAACCCACCTCTGAACTCACATAGTGTTGCTTCTGAATACAGACTCAGAATATGAACCAGGATGGCCTCATTTCTGAGAGCAACATATGCATCTGTGCAAAGAAAATGCATCCTCTTTGCATGCTGATAACTTTTAAATGGATTTCTTGCACCACAAACCTGCCATTCTGGTATTTAATTTTGATCTGATTCACATTCCTGGAATTTGTCATTCAAAGAACCAGATCAGGTTGAGAATTTTAATTGCACTTAGAGCTTCATAAGTATTTGATATTGGAATGTGTATGGTAAGGTGTGTTTTATAAAGAAGAGTGATATTTCTAATATATATTGCTGCATTCTGATATATATGCTATATATTAATAACTCTGGGATATTGCAGTCAATTTGTAATGCTCATGTTTTATGTACTGCATAAAATTTCTTCACCGTTTAGTTGGCATAAACAATAAGAGGGTCAAAGTCTATGCAATACAAAGTATATACAAATCTTGACCATTGGAAATAGCCTTCAAATCTTTCAGTGACTCTTACCCATCTGTGTTATAATGGTCAGCTGCTACTGATTCAAATAAGTTAACGAACTTCTGTGAGACAGAATTGCGTTGCATATGCCTATTAATCTTTTAGAAAGGAGAGGGACAACATGAAGAATCTTGCATTATAGAATCTGCATCCTCAGTCTTGCGGATCTCTTTGACTCCCATTGGAAGAATTTTGTGGAGTCTTTGGCTGTTACGAGTAGAGAAAGAAAGTTTATTTCTATGACTATTTTCTGATCTAACTTGAAAAGATGAGCAGAGTGACTAGACTTACTTTTCAGATTTAACACAGCTTTTTTTGACTTGCTTAATGCTCCTTCCATTAATACTTTGTATCTGAGCCAATATGCTAGTATGAGTGAGTGCAAGACAGCATGTCTTACACTTTGATCTCAGGTAGACTGAAATATATACACTTGATGTTGGTTTGCAGAAAACATTACTTATCTTTAAAACTCTTAATTTTAAAATGCAGCAGCATTATGAAGGTAAAATCCATAATTTTATCTTTAGTATAAATTAGTGGACCTATAGGTCAGCAACTGTCTGCTGTCATGCTTCTCCCATATCAGTCTTAAGAACTGTAAACACAATTTCTGCAAGGTACCAAAGTTTTTTACTTCTGCAATTAGTAATAATCCCTAGAGAGTCAACAGTTTGTGTCAACTGAGGATAACGACCATATTGTGATTTTACATATAGTTTCATTAAAGATGTATGGAGGACAAATGGTTATATCAACCAGAAACAGATATCACATACTTTATCATTATCCATAGGATCATTGTGTCAGCAAACAAATCACCTGGAAGTAGTAGAGAACTATTAATTATGTTAGTGATTTGTGGGGAATATCCTGAATGATGGAAGCATAATGTATTGGTCTTTATATCTGAAAACTTGCTATGCTCAATGATGTAAGGATGTACGAATAGGCATTTAATCAATATGATTGCAAGCCTCAGTCTCAAGTGGGTGTGTTTTAGTTAATGAATACAAGATGGGTTGTGGATTTTTTTTGACTGAACAATGACATAGAAATCATTTATGAAATATTGGTTTTGGTTTTACATACTTTTCTCCAGAAAATAATCACTAAACATCATGAAGCTTGATTGAATGCTCTTCTTTGATACTCAAATAGCTCTTATATCAAAGTGAAAATTATTTCTGGAAATTACAGAATGTGAAAAAGCAATCTAGACAGATGCTGTAGATAAGCAGTTGTTTGAATGCGATTGAAGACACAACAGTAGTAAAAACTGACTCAGCAGACTGTTTTAGTGGGTCCTAAATTCTCAATACAGGGATGGATATGTATGTTTGTTTAAGCTCTTCTCTGAATCAGGGTGTAAAATATTATTTCAGAGATTAGTTGAAACAAAAGCATTTTTTAAATGTACTTGCCAAACGTTACAAGAACAAAGGCAACAGATTTTATCATAATCAGTTAATGTAGGCCATATAAATTCGAACTGAAATGTATGCAGTTTTTTAAGCATAGTGTACAAAGTGTTTTAATGGAGTTTTAAAAGATTCTTCTGTGTTAATTACACAACAGAAGTGGGTTTGTTTCTGTGGTTTTGAGGATTTAAATTACTTCCCAGTGTAACGGCAAAAGCAAGTTAGCAACTTTAAACATTGCAAGCAGTCACCAAAGACCAGCCCACAGAAGGAGGCAAAAATCAGATGCAATTGAAGAATATATGATAAAATGCCATCTTTTGTTTCATTCAAAATGTGAAATGAGTAGTATGAATGTGGCATGCTAATAAGAAGTGTGATTTTTTTTTTTAAGAATATATGTGGAAATAATTTTTTCTTTTAAATATTAATACTTTTTAATGAATTTTGCTTAGTGACTTTTTAAATTATCGGTTGTGAATAGCGACAATGAAATGCCCATACAAATAGTAGCTAAGGTACTGGTGATTGATCATAGGTTAAGCATCTTACAAAGGGAGTTTCTTAAGCAAAAGTGCATAAATTTTTAGAGATCAGTATCTGTTTACAATCTTTTATTGAGCTCTACCTAAAAGACAAGATTGAATACTCTGCCAAAGTATGTCTTTTGAATAGAATCAAGTTCTGTGCCTGTTTTTACTGTGGATCAAGGCTTCAGAAAATTGTGGAAAATTGTTGCTTTTTCTTTAGAGATTAAGTCATGAAAATAAGACAACAGGAAATTTTCTAATGTCATTATGCAACATAATATATATATTATATGAATATTGGATTGACTTTAAATGATAATTATTGCATCCCTTGATTTTCTTCCCAGATTTTGAATAAAACCAAGTCTGGAACAAAGATTAGCGCAAATGACAGGACTTTTTTTTTTTTTTTCATCTTTAGTTGAAGTCACAATTTACCCAAGTTTTCCATATAAAACTGAACTAGACAAGGCTTATGCCTATGGTTTACACACAGTTTGAGGAATCTTAATATTGCTAGGCAATTTCTTTGGGCTCATATTTTACTGTTCAGAGTCCTCACAGATATCTATACTGGATTTTAAAGAGATATGGAATTATTAATGACTGCTCAGAAGTTTGTCTTTCATTTTCAACTATAGTTAGGAAGGAGTGCAGGGCAGCAACTATATTTAAAAGAAACCAAAATATGTTGAGTACAGTTGTAGTATTTGTCTCCCCGAATCTGATTTTTTTATATCCTATGGATTAAATTTATGTCCTGCTTGTTTCCCACTTTTTATAGAATTAAATTATGGTAAAGAGAAAATGTATTTACAATGCATATCACACTTGCAGATTTTTTTATTCCATTCAGGTACAGTCTACAGATGACATGTCTGTTTTTCCAGTGACCACAGGAATATATAATCACTCATCGACAATGTTATTTGTTTTTTTCCTTTAGGGGCTGATGTTATCAATTTTGATGGCCATGTAGTGTTACCATACAGATTCAGGAACAAGAAAATGAAAACATTGAAAGATGTCATCTCTCTGAAATTTAAGACCTCTGAAAGCGAAGGTGTAATCTTCCACGGAGAAGGACAGCAAGGAGACTATATCACGTTGGAACTGAAGAAAGCCAAACTTGTTCTAAATTTAAATTTAGGTATGCTTTGATTGTTTAGTTTTGTGTACTTTTTAATGCTCCCCAAAATATTTTATGTCAAAATTACATCTTTTTTTTTCCCTCCCCAGTTATATGATAGGCTACATCAAGTAATCAGATAATTTAGTGAAAATGTTCATTCCGTTTATATATGTTTGGAGTATTTTTTCTGTTCCATTCCTTCCTTTTTACTCTGAAAAAAAGTTCCATTCCTTTCTTTTTGCTATGAAAAAAACCCACATTTATCTGGTTTCAGGGTTTTCTTTCCCTTCAAACAAAAGAGTTTTAGAAAAAGATTTCATGTTATTTACCTTAGTTCTCTTACAGACATGTGAAGAGTAAATTTTTTTGTTCATTATTTACATTGAATAGTAATTATTTCCACTAGCATTTTCTCCTGCTCTTTTTCTAAAGATCTTTTTCAAGCAGATGATGAGGAGGAAAGCACATGTTCCTTTTAGTAATTATCTATTTTTAACAATTTAAATTGCAATACTAACCCATTCATTTCCAGTTTCTCCATATTCTTCAATTCAGTCTGTGTTTATAAGCTAGTGTAACTTTCATATATGTGCTTGGTGGGGATGTTCTTAAATCACCAGACTGATAAATAGGAATAGACCTTGTGATGCACGCTCAATAAACAGAAGTCAGGGTTTATATTTTTACTCTTCCTCTGTCTGAGAGTATTGTCTTTGCATCAGAGTCAGTGGAAAAGGATGTTCATTTTGTCTTGTGAAATCCAGAGACTTAGTTTCAAACATCATGGAGGGGGAGGATGGGGTAACAGGGGTGGATTTAGGTTTCACTTCGCACCGAATTTGACTTTGCATTGAAGAAAATGAGGCTCATGGACATACATGGATTTTTTTTAACCAACAGTTGTTGAAGGATCAGTGACCTTCAGCAAAAAGGCAGTGTGATCATTTGTAAGGGAGTGATGTCTTAAGCCATGAAAGTGTGTTTTCCCAGAACACGTTATCAACATGCAGAACCTTAATGTCTGAGTTGCAGGCATGCTTGATGGTAAGAAATTCACAGCTACAGAAATTCTTTAGGTCCTCATGTATTCAGAAGATGGAAGATTGCACTGAGTTACTGGGCAGTGCAGCAATTGAATTAGTCATTTGCTGCTCCAGTTGAGATCCATGCTATCAGCCTTTGCTGGCTTAGCTATGTCAGTCAGATTGCAATGAGATGTGATCTCTGACTAACTTAGCGGCACTGGCTTAAGCCCCCATAAAATACACCAGAGAATTGCAAAACTGCATTCTTGCGAGTAGTTTGACTTTCAGAATAGGAAGATTGCGGCAGGAGGAAAGACCGAAATAAGCTATGTCAGAAGACATTTTTTGCTATTAGCTCAGTCTGCGTTGAGCCTTTTCCTATGCATTCACTGGTGTAGTTATACTGGCAGAGTCTACGAAATGTAGAACTCATTTAAGTGTTTGCTGTGATTAGACAAAAGGGGCTTTTGTTAACCAAAGTGTCTTACCAGGCGTCATGTCCTCCTTAACAGTCATAAATCAGTACAGGTCCAGTGAAGCTCAGGACCTGGCCAAAAGGCCATTCTAGGAAAGGTGACAATTTCTCATTTCTGTAGTGTAGGGATGAAAACACAGAAAACTCCTAGTCAAAAATAACTTTACAACTGAAAGTGAGATGTGCTGGTCTGGTTTTCCTCCAAATAACTTCTATTACAAATATCTATTCGTACAGTTCACTGAGCAGATTCTTACTGTATTTGATCTAGCTATTTGCATTTATAGCAGCAACCCTCCACTGGGAAGATCTTCGCTTCATAGGAGACAGACTTCCTCCAGCTTATTGTGTGTCTGGTACGATTCAGGTGAAATATTGACAGAGTAAGAGGAAAATGTTCACCTAACTGGTATGAGGTGAGAATTGCTGTGGTTTCTGTTCTTATCTTAGGCAGCAACCAGCTTGGCTCTATTTATGGCCACACATCCGTGATGACAGGTAGCCTCTTGGATGATCATCACTGGCACTCCATCATCATAGAGCGCCATGGGAGAAACATCAATCTCACCCTGGACAGAAACATGCAGCACTTCAGAACCAATGGAGAATTTGATTACCTGGACCTGGATTATGAGGTAGACAGTGAAACCTATTTGTTTTCATTTAAATTTGCTTTATAAAGAGAAGTCTAAAGAAAACTAACAATATTTAAGATGGTTTAGTACTTTTTTGTACATTCATTTTAATTATTTTTTGCCTTACATTTCCTGATTTTTTTTTTCCCAATGCCGTTTCTCTTAAGTGTAAATTAAGTTTCTTTTCATTAGTCTACCAGATCCTATCTGGTGTAAGAGTCATCTCAGCCTTTTGTTTTAAACAGGGAGATGTATGTTATTCAGCAAGCTAAGCACACGCTATTTTTAAAATCTCTAAAAGCAGTTGCTCTAAGTGGGAAGTAGATTAAAAGAAATTAATTATGCAAGCTGTTATTCCATTCAGGTGATAATTTTGCACTTGAATCAGAAAGTCTTGTTCTATGGTGGCAATCAGTATTTCTTTTTAGCAAAGGAAACAGATTAGAACCTTTGTATTAACATGGATCATGATCTTTCTTGTCTTAGGTAGGAAGGTAATTCCTTGTATTTTCACAAATATGCCGCCAATAACTTCTTTTGATAAAAAGCAGTAAAGAGTTAGAAAAGTTCTAAGAAAACTTTTGTTTAATCAGTCAGGTTAACGCACACAAGTGTTGATAGTAGTTAAATGTGGATTTGTTGTTTGATTACACTCTGGCTTCTACTATTATGAACTTGTTCAGTTCCTCTAAATTGTTATATGAACTTCAGCATGTTGGTTATTACAAAATTTGTATAATGATTTTCTTACACTCTTTACTGTTTCTAATGAGAATTAATGTGGTTGACTGAGCCAAATACATGTATTTCCATCCTTGCAACTTTTTAAGCAGTGAGAGGGAATCAAAATGATATAATGCAGAAAAGATTGAATTAACTTGTACATTGATTACATGTACAAGTACATGTACATTAAGCACTGAAGATCTGATTTGAGGTACTGAAAACTCACATAAATAGATTTTATTACACATTTTCAAGTGAGTCAACCGCAGAAAAAGTTAGGCTGAATGCCATAACCCGGTATTGGGCAATTCATGCATATGTATATATCGCGCTCTAAAAATATGTAACATGTTTACCTAGTAAATATATTGCATACAATAAATTTACCCCTGGTAAGAGTAGAATCCAGGAGATCCACCTTCCTCTCTTCTCTGACATTAGGGACCTCACTGGCAGTTCTCAAAGATACATTTCGATCTTCATGTACATGGATACCCTTATGTTTAATTTAACTTATTGAAGCGTGTGTGGATATGTGTTTCTGTGGTTCATATAAATGCAAGAGCATTAACTTTTTTTTTCCTTTCCACTCAGTTGTCTCACTAGTTTTGGAGTTCATCATCACAGACTAAATTTAAATATATTGCCTTTGTGATAAATTAATCACAGTAGATAAACCTGGAAGAATTTTTTCTATGAAAAAAATAGTTTCTAGGTTAATCTCCTTCAGAAAGGTTAAGTAAGCACAAAAGAGAAGTAAACATTAATTCTCATTGCCTTTTCAAGGTAAAAAAAAAAGTTAATACTGTAAATCACTCATAAATCCTCATAAATCACTGCCATGGTACATGTTTTTTTGCAATTTTTCTCCTTTTCTTCAAAATGCTTTCCATTCTATTTTCTCTTATCCAGACACATGACTATAACATGCAAAAGAATGACAGCCATTAAAATATTATAGTCATACTCTTGAGTTCATGTAAAGTACTGTATCTTCTCTGAAGTCAAGTCATGTCAGTTCATAATACCTGAGGATGTGTTCTGCAAAACGCTTTTACATAGCTAGTGTGTACCAGTTATGAAGATTTTGGTTTTCAACTGTATAGCTCTAGTTCCGCATATGACAAGTCAAAGCCTCCTCTTTGGGATAGAAAGTGATACCTTACACACTTTTAAAATGGAAAATGTGACCATAGAGCTGCATTTTCCTGCTTTCAGTAATAACAAATGGAATTAACAATGAATAATGTTTAAAAGTTTGGCTCTGCCAAATCTCAGCATCAAACTACGAGTAGACATTTTTTGTGAGCATTCATGGGGCAGGGAAGCTAGGTGTCATTGCTGTTTATGACATCATCTATTGGATATAAAAACATAGATTGCATGAACTAATCTCAGGAGTCCCTTATTGTTCACATATGGGCTGTAAAATATTAATGAAAACGTGTAGCATTTATTCACTTCCAAACAATTTAGAAAATATCCTGATACACTAGTTACCTGTATAATCTCTATGGAGTGACAGCGAGAGACTTTATAAGAGATGAACGTTTTTAGTTTGTAAAATCATGGAATCATAGAATGGTTAGGGTTGGGAAGGGCCTTAAAGATCATCTAGTTCCAGCCCCCCTGCCATGGACAGGGACACCCTCCACTACACCAGGTTGCTCAAAGCCTCATCCAACCTGGCCTTGAACACTTCCAGGGATGGGGCATCCACAACTTCTTGGTAACCTGTTCCAGTGCCTCAGCCCCCTCAGAGTGAATAGTTTCTTCCTTAGATCTAATTGAAGTCTATCCTCTTTCAATTTAAAGCCATTGTCCCTTGTCCTATCACTACACACCCTTGTAAAAAGTCCCTCTCCAGTTTTCTTGTAGGCCCCATTTACATACTAGAAGACTGATATAACATCTCCCCAGAGCCTTCTCTTCTTCATGTACTGAACTGAAGACCTGTGAAGACAGGCTGAACAACTCCAGCTCTCCCAGCCTGTATTCACAGGAGAAGTGCACTAACCCTTGGATCATCTTTGTGGCCCTCCTCTGGACCCACTCCAACAGGTCCATGTCCTTTTTATATTGGACACCCTAGAGCTGAACACAGTACTCCAGGTTGTGTCTCATGAGAGCAGACTAGAAGGGCAGAATCACCTCCCTCAACCTGCTGGCCACACTTCTTTGGATGCAGCCCAGGAGATTTTGAGTTACCAGCTCATGTTGAGTTTCTCATCAACCAACACTCCCAAGTCTCTCTCCTCAGGGCTGCTCTCAATCTATTCTCTGCCCAGCTTGTACTTGTTCTTGGGATTGCCCCAATGCCTGCACAGGACCTTGCGCTTGGCCTTGTTGAACTTGGTGAAGTTTGCACAGGCCCACCTCTCAAGCCTGTCAAGATCCCTCTTACTGGCATCCCTTCCCTCCAGTGTGTCGACCACACCACAGCTTGGTGTTGTCTGCAGACTTGCTGAGGGTGCACTCGATCCCACTGTCCGTGTCACCAACAAAGATGTTAAACAGTGCTGGCCCCAGTACCAACCGCTGAGGAATGCCACTCATCACTGGCCTCTACTTGGACATCAAGTTGTTGACTGCAACTCTGAGTGCAACCATCCAGCCAATTCCTTGTCCACCGAGTGGTCCATCCATCAAATCCATGTCTCTCCAATTTAGAGACAAGGATGTTGTGCAGGACAGTGTCAAATATTTAGGACAAGTCCTGGTAGATGACGTCAGTTGTACTTCCCTTATCCACCAATGCTGTAACCCCACCATAGAAGGCAACCAAATTTGTCCAGCACAGTCTGCCCTTTGTGAAGCCGTGTTGGCTGTCATCAATCACCTCTTTTTTTTTTTTCTCATGTGCCTTAGCATAGTTTCCAGGAGGATCTGCTCCATGATCTCGCCAGGCACTGAAGTAAGACTGACTGGCCTGTGGTTCCCCAGGTCTTCCTTTTTTCCCTTTTTAAAATAATTGTTTTTCTTCTTTCTTTTTTTAGCACTAGAGATTCTAGATAACCTAGTGTTTTAGGGTAATGAAACTCAGCATTAAGAGAAAAACAATTCCTGTTCAATCATAGAATCATAGAATCATAGAATGGTTAGGGCTGGAAGGGACCTTCAAAGGTCATCTAGTCCAACCCCTCTGCAAGGAACAGGGATATCTCCAACTAGATCAGGTTGCTCAGGGCCTCGTCCAACCTGGCCTTGAACGTCTCCAGGGATGGAGCATCCACCACCTCTCTGGGCAACCTGTTCCAGTGTTCTACAACTCTCATGGTAAAAAATTTTTTCCTAATATCCAATCTGAATCTACCTCCCTCTATTTTAAAACCATTACCCCTTGTCCTATCACAACTGGCCCTCCTGAACAGCCTCTCCCCATCTTTCTTGTAGGCCCCCTTGAAGTACTGGAAGACCTCTATAAGGTCACCCCGGAGCCTCCTCTTCTCCAGGCTGAACAGCCCCAACTCTTTCAGCCTGTCCTCATAGGAAAGGATGTTGATGGCTGAGTCTTTGTGGTGGTTTTATTCATTTGCATAGAGCTGATTTGGCCTGCTAAGTCATGTGATAACTCCTCATTGACTATAACTACATGATTAAAGCATGTACTCCGTAGTGGAAGGTGGTTCTGTCTAACAGGTGATACATCTTTAACTATATGATTCTGTAAAATTCTTCTGGATAAAACAGATATATAAACATTAAAGGTAACGAGTGTATCATATTGGAGCCCGCAGCTGCCATGTTGTACTCTGAGCTCTGGCACACAGTTAGAGCTCAGTGAATAATTTGAATCTGATTATCTAGCTAATTTCATATCTGCTTTTGTTTAGAACAATACTGGGGTAGACATTTATTCTGAGTTCTTTGTTTGAAATCCATATTTTTCAGTAGCGATCAGAAGAGCAGTCCATGGATGAACAACTGTGATGTGTGTTGGCTCGCTATTTGGACAACTAAAAATATTTGGGATTAAATACCCTAAATATTTGCAATCACAAACAAATTTTTTTTTCTGCTTTTGCACTGCCTATTTTCTGTAAGCAGTGTTGCCAGCTCTCTCATTCACCATGTTTCACTGTTCAAAGAAAGCAAATACATCTACAGCAAATTTGTTTAAAAGTCTTTGCCCTCCAGTAACTATCTACTGTTTTCTGTTTTATTAAAAGATAACCTTTGGAGGCATGCCTTTTTCTGGGAAGCCAAGTTCTAACAGTCGGAAAAATTTCAAAGGCTGCATGGAGAGCATCAACTACAATGGCAATAATATCACTGACCTTGCCAAGAGGAAGAAATTGGAACCTTCTAATGTGGTAAGAGCATAATTTAATGGTCATCTAAACTTCTGCTTCCCCTTCTAAAGAAGACTAGAAGGTTTGTGAGTGTGTGTAGCTGATATACTTGTGATATACTGGAGTGATACAGAACACAAAAAAATTTTATCACTTTTTTTTATTATCATGTCTGAGAATTTTACTTCTGGGATTCTGTTTCATCTTTCCAAAATTAACCTTTGGTATCAGATAACTACTTTTTAAAATAAAATCAGCTGAACCGATAAGTACTTCTTTCCTTTCCTCCCAAATTATAGTAGTCCAAAACCAGCCCATACAAGATTTATTATTAAATCAATTACAGCTTTCTTGTGGCTTTAAAACCTGGTATACTCCATCCCTGCAGAGCTAGCTGGATTGCAAGTTCCCAAAAGTCACTGGAAGAGAATGTTTCTACAGGCCTTTCTGGTAGCTCTGAAAAGCCACAAGATATTAGACTTGAAAATCATTATTTAGCTTATTAACATTACAGAGCTTATTAACATTTTATTCTATTTTTTTCTCTTGCTTAAGCATTCATAGTTGCTTTCATGTTCAAACTTGCAGCTTTATGGGCAGAGTGATTAAGAAAGAATGTACTTTAATTACTGTATTTTTAAGCCTCTAAAGGTTCCTAAAATTGCTTGCTGGCATACAAAGGCAATGTGGGGAGGAAATAAGTGTATTATTGCCATGAGTTTGAGATGATCAGAATAAGTTGTTCAAGGCTTTCTTCTGCAGAAGTTTACAACCTTCAGAAAGTGCTGCTAACAATATGTATAGTTCCACTATTGCTTTTCTCTTTATGTAATAAAGAGCACAGATTTACATATGCAGTGATGATGAATTGCAAAGGATTGATTACCATTTGATTACTCCTTGGATAGTAATACTGAAATTCCCTACAATTGTGTGAACAATGTGGCTAAATAGTCAAGGTAATAAGAAGGATTTGAATATATGATGTTTGCCTATACAAACACGGTAATGCCACCTGATACTTAGAACCTTTTCTGTACATGAATTTCTTCACTATTTTCAAAGGCAAAGAGCATGATATATATGCCTTGGAGAAAGACTCGTCTTTTGGAATTTTTTCAACCCAGTCACATGAATTCCTGAACCTTTGACTGTTTTTTGTTGTTTTGTTGGGTTTTTTTCCAAGATTGCCTGTGATTTCCTGCCTGCAGTGCGTTTTAAGCTTGTTATGTAGCAATGATTTTCAAAGATTGATGCCTGATTTAGAAAAGGATCTTTGTACAGGAGCAATCTTTCCATTTTGCACAGTCAGGTCCACTGCAAGTTAGTAGGGCATATTCTTAAAGTCTCTTTCTGAACAGAAGTGTTACTTAAGATGTTTCTGTAGTGCAAATCTTAACCTTTCAAAAGTGTAGCATAGCTAGCAGACCTGTAAAAAAGTCTCTGTAAAATCATCTCTCTTTTTTCTAACCTTTCAAAAGTGTAGCATAGCTAGCAAACCTGTAAAAAGTCTCTGTAAAATCATCTCTCTTTTTTTATTTGTTTGTTCTTCGTTTTTCTTTAAAGTTCTGTTACCTGTAACATGAAAGTAAAATCCATATAAGAAGCTTTGGCAGTGTTGGTGGTACATCAAGAGGCTATGGCATTAGTTTAATTTGATGGTTCTGTTGATTTCCAATTCTGAGAATGGCTATTAAAATAGAAGTGACCTTTGTTTTCAGAAGAATTACTTCAGCTCTTCAAAAGCAAAATCAATTTTACTCTAACTAAATCAACATGGATTTTTATGTTTCTTACAAAAGCTTTTTTCTTCCTAGATTTTAGCCTGATTTAGCATGAAAAATAGACTCAGTTGAGACTGCTGTTCTTGTTAATCATGTTTGTGATGATGGCACTTAAGCAATCCAATAAGGATCAAAGCACCATGAGGAGATCCTGTACAAACCCATAACAGTAGGCACACTCTACTCTAAACAGTGTATTATCTGAAAGGACAAGGCAGACAAAATGTAATGAAGTGAAACACAAGCAAAGTAATCAGTATAGTGATGAGAAATATCAAAAGGGGGAAAAAAAAGCAGAGAAAAGAAGGATATTAAAGAGGTGTGAGACAGAAGAAAAAATATTCTTAGATGCAGATAGTGGAATTTCAGAAGTTACACAGTGAAAGGGAGCTGACAAGTTAATTCTACAGAATAAGGAGGCCCAGAGAATCAGTCATAAGAAGATGATAATCTTGATTTGTCTCTGAGCAAAATTAAAGATAAATTTTTTTTTAGGTCTCATATATGTAGGTGTTATGAGCAAAAAAGTATCACCAAGCATCTCTTCAATTTATTGAAGAGTAAAGATGTAAAGACAATTTAAAAGTATTTTAAATTTAAATGAAGTCCAACATTGACTTTAATAATGTATTTCTTTTAGATTTAGAGCATAGGAATAAGTGGAAAAAAAGTTTGTCCGTCCTCTGTGGCACAAAAGACAGCAACAGCTCTTTGGAGAGAATGAGTCAGATGGATGGTCTTGAGAAGTTATTGCTGCTCTTATTAGTAGAGCTCGATTTGTTTTCATAGCAGATAAATGAGGCAAATGAGAAAGATGCCCAATAGGGAGAGTCATGGAGAAAAGGACAGCTGAGACAGAGAATGCGAGCGTATGCTTTTCTTTTGAACCAAGTTGCAAACAAGAGTTTGGCAACTAACACACACAGTAGGTGCTAACTCTAAGACAGAAACAGGGAAAGCATTTCTAACCAATCTTCCAGTCCCTCTTTTCTGTGTTTTCTTCTAAAGTATAACAAACTTTGTAGGTCTTTCATTACTTTGTGTAACAGAAGAATATTGACTCATGTAGCACTAGTAAGAAGAGACTAGAATATACAGCTAACAAGAAGTCCAAAGACGTGTGTGTGGAGAAACCTTTTGGCTGCTGCAGCATCCTGTGAAAGTTCTTTCCCCATGCAGGCTAACTAAGAAACACCTGTAGCTCGTTACACTGGGAAAGTTACCTTGAAACAGGTGCTGTAGCATTCAGCCAATCACTCTGGGAGATGGATGGTCAAGTGACCAATAGCCTTGACCCATCTAGCAAATCATGTGACTCCTGACTATTTAAGGCAGGGCGTTTACTCCTAAGGGTGAGGCATTTTCTCCTGAGCCTTAGAGGAGTGTGGGCCTTCCTTAGAGTAGAGCCTAAAGCCTTCGCATTAGAGCATTGGTCTGCTTGGAGCCACCTGAAGCCTTCCAGCTGCGACACGTGTGAGTTTAGGAATTTAGTCACTTTATCAAATCTTCCTACCCAGAGGTATATTAAGGGCAGGCAGCATGAATAGTAATTGGATTCAGTTTCCACAGAACAGTCTTGCCAATTTTAAAACCTGTAACCAAAAAACGCTGGAGAATCATGTTTGCTACCCTCCATCCATAACGTTCACTGGGTCTATGCTCCACCCACTTCAGCAGCTCCTATGCCATGTATTACTGAGTGCAAACATGTACAAACTTAATATGAGTGTTTTCTTTAAACTATTTATATTAAATGAACATTATGTTAAACTCAAAGATGAGTAATAAGCTGTTTTGAGAAAAACACTAACATAACATGGTAAACATTAGCAGACAGTATATTGCCTGAACTGTATGATCCATCCTGTTTTTAACAGGTATTGTAGTCTTAACAAACTCGTTACTTCTCTTTTGGGAGCTATGTATGCAGCCAGTAGCTCTATTAACTAGGAAAGATTTTAAAACCCAACAGTATTTCCACAAGGAATAACATCTGAATGTGGACAGGCAAAAGTGACAGAAGAAGTAAACATGAAGCTAATTTGCAAAACAGATTAAAGACTGTGATACAAAGTTCAAGCTATCCCAATTAAGATGTTTTCACTGTTTCCCTTTCAATGTAGTATGAAAAACTATCTGATGAGACCAACAGTTTCAGTGTAAATGTACAGTATATATTTGAATTCCAGATGTCATTGCCCAGAGAACTCTTCAGCAAGTCACTCTGAATCTGTAGAAAAGGATCTACATTTTCTCTTTGAAAAATGGGGATGCTATTATAGAGACAAACAGGAGATTAGCTTGAACTTTTGACCTAGACCTAGTGAGCAATCTGTATCAGATGGGCTTTACTTAAAAGAGGAGTCGTCTCGAGAATTACAGTCACAGAGGGAATCAATAATCCAGTTGAGGTTAATCTGAATAGCTCAGTAGGGAAAATACTAACTGACAGAGAAATCAGAATTAAATGTTACTTCCTCAAAAATCTTTTATGCAGTTAGGGTGTTCATGATAAATATGTTCACTGATGTGAAAAAGGATTTGAATGCATTCAGTGCCATTAACGTTAATAAGTGTTATACATGCAAGTTTCCCATGCATCAGGATGACAGGAGAGTGTCGACTAGATGTGGAAGCCTTCTTGTTATGAAGAAATTGTTAATTCTTCACGGTAACAAGGCAGCAAGAGAAACTCCTAAAAATGTCTAACAAGATGCTTTCTGAGCACTACTTAATTGGCGATTGTGACCGAACTGCAAGATGTCAGCTCTTGTAAAATGCTGTCACCCTCTGTGTCTACACAGGATTGCCTTAACTGTGTAACATAAATTGTTTCTAATCCATAGAGTGACTATTACACTAAGAATGATAACAAAGGGTTACAAAGGGTATTTCAGCCGCTCTCCAGCTTTTTATTCTGTATATGAAATTTGTGGTTTAACCAAAAGTATTCTGTAGCACACTTGGGAACGTTCAGACTAAAACTATTCAAACAAATGACTTAACTATTTTGATTTAATGCTTATTTGACTGAAAACTTAAAATTAAATTCCCTAGGCAACTTTTAGACCAACAAAAACATCCCAGAATAGCCAAGCATCTTAGCAGCAAAGGGGACATGGGGAGGTCCTTTGCCTTTACTCAGAAAGTAGATGTAATTTCTCTGATTCACACCGTAATTTAAAAGCTTCCTATAGTTCTTAATTATTTTCCTAAATCCTTGGGTATTTTTTGTTATCCATGGAATATGAGTGTGTGAAAAGAACATGGTTTATAATGCTGAGATTTTATCATAAAGACAGGAACAGATCTTTTAGGATATCAGCATAAAGAAATCTCTTTGCTGGTTCCAGATTATTGGAAACAACACTGTTTCTTAATTGATGATGGAGGCTGCCAACCTGATAGTCTAGTTGCTACTAGTTCTACTGGTCTTTATAGATATACTGTGTGGCAGTATAGCTTCTGACACTCTATAGGAAAAAGAGGTAGCTGTGCACAGTAATCTAAATGCTCAAGAAGCTATTATTTTTATTCATTAAGTTTTGATATGGTAATACTATGTAAGAAACTGAATATGCCACAGGTGATAACTTGCTATGACATAGGGTATTTTTGATATGTTGTTCTTTCAAAAAGGGGCGGGTTTGAACATTGATAAATCAGTGCTAAATCTTGCTTCCTTACTGATGTCATGTAGCCCATCTCCAAATGAAAATAATTACTTATAAAAAAAAATACTTAGGACTTTCCTCCCACACATTTTCAGACACTAAGTTCTTATCTTGCTTCCAAATTCTCTAACTTCTCTCAAGATGAGCTTTCATATACATTTATACACTATGAATACAAAAATATCTGACATAAAAGCTTATATCAGGAAGTCATTAATACGGAGTTTAAAAATATTTGTGTGATAAAGATGATGATTGAGTCTTATTGGGATTCTGAACAGTGCTTAGGTGAAACTCATATCTAAGCATCTAGGTACCTCCAAAGACATTGTTCAATCCTTAAATTTCTTTTTAATTGTATAGATAAATATAAAAGGAATTGCTATCTTGATCACAGTAATAACTTCCATAATGCATCAGATAAAAATCTTCCTTCTCAAATTGAATTGAAATTGCCACAGAGTATCCGTCTGCCACCGTGCATCAGAAAACCTGACCATAGAACAGGATCCACTTTTCCATGTTAGAGGAATTCTTCAGCAGAGGAGGTTTTCCTGTCATATTTGCATTGATGCATTAAAAAGTCAATTCTGGACAGTTATTGCTACAAATAATTTATGATTTCTAAGGAAAAAGATGTAATACATTCTACCATTGTGGTCTTTCATGAGAAATGACATGAGAACCAGAGTGAAAAATTCATGTCCCTAATTCTAGTCTTGTTTACAAATACATTTTTAAGCTTTGGAAATCAACAAAGTTGGCTGGATTTTTGTCAAGTTCACAAAGAGTAATATTTTACAGTGTGAAGACTGGTATTTCCTATGCAGAGAAAATTCTTGACTATAAATATCAGGCATTGTTCATGATCAGCTACTCCAAATCCTTCTGCTTCATGAAATGAAGTATCAGCTTATCTAGTATTATCCAGTAGAAAACATAACAGAGAGGCTAGCTCTTCATGAAGTATTATTCTTCTTTCACAGCCTCATGTATTGTATTGATTGATACATTGAAATAAAGGTGTTTGGAAAGCTGTATTTAATTTTTATAAAAAGGATTAATTACTGCTCTGCTATAGGCTTCTTTGGTGACTGTGAACAACCCCAAGTTTCTCTGTGATTCATTTCTTCATCTTTGAACTGGGAATATTAATACTTCCATCTAAGCTTTATCCTAGTTAGACGATAACTCTTCAGGGCAAAACTACCTCTTATTGTGTGTATATAAAGTAGAAAATATATAGAAAATAATAAATATTTGCTAGACAAAACAAACATCAGCAACAACATTATAATAGTAACAATAATGATAATATTAATAACACATTTTTACATGCAACTTGCATTGATCACAGTAGTCTCTGGGGTGAATGAAACCTAGAATACTTTTCTAGAAGTAGCTATGAATTTAATGGAATCTTACCATTGTGCTTTTTTTTTTTTTTTCTTTTTTTTGTGTTTTAATTAGGGAAATTTAAGTTTTACTTGTGTGGAGCCACATACAGTGCCTGTCTTTTTCAATGCCACCAGTTACCTTGAGGTTCCTGGTCGTCCAAGCCAGGATCTGTTTTCGGTCAGTTTTCTTTTCCGAACCTGGAACCCCAGCGGACTTCTTCTCTTCAGCAACTTTGCAGATGACCTGGGGAATGTTGAGATTGACATAAATGAGGGCAAAGTCAGCGTCCATATCAATGTCACCCTAGTGAAGAAGAACCGAATAGACATCTCATCAGGTAAGTGTTTTTTATTAAATTGGTATGGTTTTTGTTGATGGTGTTTAAAAGCATCATGGACCTAAAAATTAGAACAATTGTTTCAAAAAATTTAAAATTTAAATTGCAACTATATTAAATCCTTTATTGTATGTTTCATTGAGTAAGAGGTAGAATAATATTGAAACAGTTGTTAGATTAAAAAAAAAGACACAAATATTCTTATTCTGTCATGAAACCCAGAAAATGTATCACCTCTTATCTATGAGGCAACATTGCTTGTTTTTTTCTTTCTTCCGTGTTCTCTGGAAAAATATTTGGTTTCAAAAAGGAAAGGGTACTCCCTTGTGAAGACTAGCCTAATAATTAGGCTGCTCCTATTACTTCTTAATAATCAGGAAGCTCTCATAAAAAAAAAAAAAATCCACTTGTTTTAACCACAAGACTGGCGTGAAAAATACTGTAGCCTTCTCTAAGTATGCTGTAGAGTCATCCTGGAGAACTACCAGAGCTTTCAGTACCTAACTAAGGAGTTTTGGGAAAATGCTGTGTAAAAGGTACAGGATTAGGTTTGTTTCTGGAAGAAAACATGTGTGTTGGTGTCAGTTGATTGGCCTTTTAAAATTACTTGATACTTCCTTTTTGATAAATTATACTTTCAGTCTAGATTCTTTACGGGCGTTTCTGGATCAGCTGTAGCCGATATGCTGTTAGCTACATCATGTCAATTAACTTCTCAGCAAAGTCATGATCTAATCATGGGTTGGAAAATACAGGGTTGCTGAAAATGGATCTAGCTCCATGTGAAAAACAAAACCCAGTTGTTATTTGAAGTCACATATATGGCAACCTAGTTTCTTAACAAAAAGAGAGTTACCTTTTTTGCCTGAATTCATCTGTGGTTACTATTTTTTCTTAATTTCATGGTGGAGGTATTTCAATCTTCATCAACAGGATTGATATACTGGTATAGCTCTGAATGAATGACAGTGGTTTTTATGTCTCCTCTTCTGTTAGATTTGAAAATATATTGTTTACATAGTCATATAAACAGGGACTTGAGGAAATGTAAGAAAAAGAAAAAAATACCCTTTAAAATGAGAAAACATACTTTAAGTAGGAAAGTAACTTTTCATTTGGCAAGTGGACATTTTTATGAGTTTTCTGTTTTCACCCCATTAGTGAAATAGAGCTGAGCATGAAGTGTAATTAATTATTTTAAAGATAGAACTGAAAAAATACGAATAATAACAACTAAAAATCAGAATTTACCTTTTTAGTAAAATGAAAATGTTTTTATGAAAAATAGATCGTATTTTCTTCTGTCATTACAATTTCTTTTTGGCACAGAAAATCAATACCGTATATTACAAGTTAGCATTTCATCACCTTTGTTATATAAATACACTCATGTATTTCACTGATTTGCAACTAATTTTACCCAGTATATGTATTGATACCAAACCATTTTCAGATTCCGTTACGTTTACATTCTGGTAAGTGAACACATGTGAAAACTATTAATTTGCTGTTATGCTTTCTCCTGACCTTCACCCACAACAACAAAAATTCTCGAACTACTGAGATGTAAACCCAGAGTATTCATATTCTTTCTTCTGAAATGTTCTGAATTGAGTATTCTTCAGAGTAAATCTTTTCGGTCTGTATGACCGGTTTGCATAATAGCCCAAGAATCACATTCAGCCATTCATTTTTATAGCCGTGATGCTTTTCTTAATCTCCATGCAATCCAACATCTACATACCACAGTATGAATATCTAAAAGAGTTAGTTGTTTCCTTTTTTTATTACAATTTGTACCATAATAAAGATATATTTATTGTTTAATAGTCATTGTATGCACTTTTTATATTTGCATAGCTATCCTGAGAAAGCTTTGATTTATTTTAATATTTTGTTGCTACTTTTGTTGCAACGGGCATTTCAGTGCCTGTGAAATGAATTGTGAGCGTGAATATCAGAAAGCAAAATATGGCATCTGCCAGGGAAGGCTGTAGAAGGAATGCTACTGTTGTATGGCAAATATCACAGTGACCTTCTGGTTCCTTTCTTGTGCAGGGAACTGACATGATTTACAGAAAGATTTCTGGCTGTCGTGGTCCTGTAGATACAAGATTCACATTACAGCTGGCAAAGCAGAATTTTCTGTAGTTGAGTGTGCAGCCTCCTATGTAACTGTGTGTGCAGGGGATGAACAATTAGGCTTCTGTCTGCCGGGAGGTACGCACCCTGGTTGTCACAGACAATTAGTCTAACTGAAGCCACAGCCTCGACACGGGTGTGTTTTGTATCTCATAGCTTTGCTGTACCTATTCCTATCACCTGTGATAGTGTCTTTCTACTGGAGGAAGCTCAAGTCTCTTAGTCCTTACTCTCTCATAATTTTCTAGCTTACTTTCCTTAGCAGCTTTTAATGTCAGTTTTTCATGTTAACGTGGGTACATTGGCAGTTCATTCTGGGGCATAGTCTAACTCTGGCTGTAGAAAGAGTACTTGAACAGACTGGCAGGAATTACATGAAAGAACTGTATGCTGATGTGCAGATGGCAGTTTGTTCCTGTGCATCTCTGCACTAAAGATACTGGTGTGGAACAGAGTTCTAGTTTGTCTGGTTTTTGGTGTCATAATATTCCTTAAACACCTTACAGCCACATGCACTGTGGTAAAGCCACTTTACACTGAGTGTAAAGACTCAAAGAGCTTTAACTTAGCAGAAGTGGTTAATAATCAGCAAGAAGAACTAATTGACTGTTAAGAAGAATGAGAGCTACTACTCTGAGAAATCAGAAATAGGTTTAAATTTTATTTTTATGCCAATTAATTCTAATTTTTCTATTTTATATAGTGAATGAAGGGACACAATATTCCAAGGTGATCAAATAGAAAGCATGAATGCAAAAAGTTTTACTTCTACATGAATTCAGTAATTATGAGAGGTTTACATAGCATGCTGAGGGAAAACATTTGGATCAATAGCAGGCAATTCATGAGAAGCATGAAGGAGACATTGCTTTGCATTTAAAATCACAGAAATTGAGAGTTACCATCTCAGCAGTTTTCTTTGTATCCCAGAGATCCCTCCCTGCTCTCATCAGCTGTCTGTTCTATTTTTGTCAGGGATAATTTTTTCACAGTGTTAGGAGATCACAGCAAGAGCTCTTAGGTCTTACTTAATGTTATCCTTTGGTCTTTCAAAAGACATTTAACTGTTTCTTCATTTATTTAACCACTTGTCCATTACAAGTTTCATTACGTTCAATTCTTCATGAACTTCTCTCAGTTTCTTAATCGATCTTCTTCATCTTTGTTTGAACAATAAGTTGTGCCAGTAATTTGTTATTGGAATATTTAAAATAGAAAATAATATTTTAAACTATTAAAATGGTTTTGTGTATATAAAGCTTCTTCACTCATCGTTTGGAGTTCAAAATTGTCTTCAGCCTAAGTATGAGACTTTCCTACTCTCTGTCATGTCTTAATTCTCTCTTTCATTCTATTGTTGCTACTTTTAAAAAATCACAGGTAGCTAATGTTACCATTAGCAGTTTCTAGAAAACTTTTGGTAGGTCACTTCTTGTTTTGCAAAAATGCCTTGTATTTTCTTCTTTAATGATGTTAGATACTGTTTATCTTGCTGTTCGTTTTCATACATTCGGTTACTTTCAAACCTCTGCCTCATCTCTATACATCTAGAGCATGTAAATACATTATGTGTGCTGAAAAGAATCAGGGATGATTACATATATTGTAGTCCAGTACATATGAGTTTTGCATTACTGGTGAAAGGCAACAGGCTTTGTGCTGACCTGGCAAAGCAGAATCTCAGGTTTTACTTGACCTGGTTGTAGCTTTTTTAAAAGTGGCCAAACCAACTAGTCCCTGACCTGTCCTGAGCTTCAGCTTGCTGAATGGTAATGGCAATAAAAAGCTGGTAAAAAGAAGTAATAATTTTTCTACTATACCAATAAAGTGTACAATGTTTTACCCGTAATAAAATTTTGAGTGGAACAGAATATTTTACCTTATATGCAGTTATATGAAAGGGACAAACATGATTAGTCCTTGTGGTTATGCTTACTGTCTGATTTTGCTTACTGAGCAGATTTTTACCTTTTTTCATGATCTTGCCAGTTGTTCCTTCCAAACAGGTTTCTAAACAATAAAAAAATTTGTTCCTTTTCTTGCCCAGCATTCTGTTAAGTGTTCAGTAAGCACTGTTTAGCTGTGAACAGACCAGCAAAGCTGTCGTACAAGGTCAATGGCCTTGATTTTGTTTTTTTCTTAGGTTAATCTTATTTAGACACTATCACCATTTGATTGATGAGAGTTATATTAATAAATTTGCTGTTAGTAAGAGGAAAATCAGGCCCACTGAGAGCTGAAATAAAGATTTAATTAGAAGAAATAAGCTACTGACTGTGCAGAATTACACAGGTGAAATACTTAAAGCTTGTGTATAAATCAAGAGTTAAACATCCTATTGACTTTTTCTCTGCAGAGTAAACTGTGATAAATATCTTCACAATTGTGTATGTCCCAGCATAGGGATTAATAATAGGAGAGAATCTCAGAAAACAGTCAAGACATTTATCTTTACTGTTCCATATAGTTTTAGAGCAAATTTTGCTTTTGTCATTGTGGGATTCAGGCAAACTTACTGGAAATTGCTGGGTTTACCCAAGGGATTGATGCAAGTGATGCTAGGCTGAGAAGATTGAAGAAAGAAGTGTTCTTGCTTTCTTTAAGAACTTCTTAAAAGCAGATTTCCAATGTTGTTTTACATACCAAAGGATTCTGATATTCTGCTACAGTTTTAAAAGTAATTTAATTTTAATGTTTACCTGTTTACCCTAAGAAGCTACTCAAAATTTGTGATCTTGCAATTAGGAGAATAAATTGTTCATGAAGCATTTATTTATTTATTTAATAATGTCTTCTTTCTTGAGCACAGAAGAAATCAACAACTGGAACTGGAAAATGTCACATTCCCACATCTGCCT